CATAATGTCGTGTGATTGAGTGCCAATACTCTATTTTTTTATTCGATTTTATTTTATTTTTTATTTGGAGCCAGCTAAAGGTGTAATTGAAAATAATTTATCCCGTTCGGAGATGAGGATAACTTAATGGTAAAACTAAAGAACTATACTATATGTGATCCAATTGTAGTTTGCATGATCATAGGTCAAACGTAGTGTTTCTTCATTTCCGGGTCACTTTTATTTATTTGAAGGGATTGAATAAATGTATATTGGTACCCGAAATTCGAAAAAGTTCATAGCTTCCCGAAAGTTAAAAGCGTCATTGTTGTTTGGGTTTATATGCACGTATTATGTAAAAGTAAATGACTATAAATCTTGCAACTATTACCCGTATTACACTAGACAAAGAAATGACTATGGAATCTGCTTCAGCCTCCAAGAGAGGATTTCAAAATATCTTTTATGGAAACATATTTAATAATATCTGAAATCGCAGCCCTTGCATTAATCCCTTGTCCACCAAATATTTAATTTAGAGACCATTGTAATTATTATGGCGTCTTGTCAGGTAAATCATAATAAACATTGTGAGCTTGCAATCATATGTTTCTGCCTTTTTCTTGTCTGTTAGTTATATATGGTATTACATTATTCGGTCATCGTCAACAATATTTATTACTATATAACATTATGCATGTCTAGTTACTAGTAACTTGACCTAGTAAACAATTTTTTATATTCATTGGCTAAAAAAATGTGTAATCTACGAATGTCACACACCGTGTAGGAATTCTGAGAAACAAGCGCTTTGATTTTACATTACAAGTTTTATTAGCTATATTTTTTGAATTCTAATTTGATATTGATAAAAAAAAAAAAAGTCCTTTGTTTAAAAGACATCGGATTAAAGATTTCATTTTAGTAAAAATGGACGTGGTTTAATCTAGTATAATATCATCCCGTGGTTCATTATTATTAAAATTGGACGTCGGGTTGATCGATTTGAGTATTGATCTTTCTTTTGTAATTCTAGCAATGCCTTTAATATATATCAACTGTAACAAAGGATTATTACCCCCAACACAAACATATTAAGGTTTACATGTATACAAAAAAAAAAAAAAAAAAAAAAAAAAAAAAAAAAAAAAAAAAAAAAAAATAAAATTTTAAAAAAAAAAAAAAAAAAAAAAAAAAAAAAAAAAAAAAAAAAAAAAAAAAAAATCTGAAAACGTTTCAATTCTTCACAGATATGTGAAATATTCAAGTTAAAAAGAAGAATGTATAGATCTTCATTATCAGGAGTGGGAACAATGTGCATGCTCGAAATATTAATTAACTATTATCCTTCTTCAATATAAATGTCACGTACGACGTTCTACCCATATATAAACATGTTTCACTAGAAAGAAAATATCAGTTTCAAGTGTGTGTGTAAATATATATATTGAGATATATTGTCTTTTTGAAATTGTGTGTTAATGAATATGCAGTATTAGAAAATACTTAATTAGGCACATGAATGGAGATAATTATCTGCTTTCAACCCTATGAAAAACAGACGAATTGTGAATTATTGTTTAATAAGATGACATACTTCTTCGAAGGAAGTTACTAGTGTCTTGTCCATCTCTTTGAATGTGTAAATCATTTTTTAACTATTTAGAGTTATTAAATCCAAATACATATCATACAAATTTTTGTTGTTGATTACCAATTATTACAACAAGCAAAAGTTGGCTTCATTCGACGACGGTTCACAGAAGTTATATATGCTTCTGGTATACAATGAAGAATATTAAAAAAATAAATCAAAATCACGAAGGCTCTCAATGTATTCAAACTTCTTAGCTATTCATTATACAATTCTATAGCTGCACAAATTTTTAGTTCCTAAGGAGTGTATGTTGCTCGATTTTGAACAAGAAGAAATGCAAATTTTTAGAAGAAATATTATCGGGATAATTTACAAAAAAAACCTAGATCATGTTTTATAATTTTCCCTATTCTCTAAAAAAATGAGAAAAGAATTCGCACAAATTAATAATGCTATAAATCCAAAATAGCCATCCATGATATTTTTGGTTAATGTAAAAAGTTTATTTTTTTTTCAAATAAATTCTAGTACAAGATAGATGATCATTGCAAATTGATCTCCATTATTGGACAGAAAACAGAATTAAAAATCTCAAATTTCAAATCTCGTAAGTGCTTATTGCTGAAATAGAAAATCGGAGGTAAAGTAAGTAGGGTTTCCTGCAGATGAAACCATGTTTTCCATTTCAGAGTTATTGGAATTGAACATATCATTGTTCATTTCGCAATCTCCCAGAAGACCCATGAAATTGTTGTCGGAATCTATGCAACCTGAGACAGCTGCATCATAACACTGATAATCCGAAATGGGGCAAGAACTTAACCTTGTTGTAGCCCCTAGGAGTTTCTCAATTGTGTCCTCATCATCTAATTGATTCCCAAATAAGTGACAATCAACATAATGTGGAGAATCCCTTTTCCGATCACCGGAACTTGATTCTTCAACAGCTTCAAAAGGGCTAGCTGAAAACCCTAATTCTTGAAATTCATTAGGTTTTGATTTTTGGCACGCGCTCAAATTCTCAAGTCGTTTGATCATCGTTTTCTCTCTTGCCCTTGCTCTTGCCTTGTCCCGGGACTCCCTCGTATTAGGTTTTGCTTTACGAACTACTTTGTAAATATAGTTTCTGTCATCTTTCTCATGTGGACTACCTGGACTTACACATTTTCCTGAAACTCCTTTGAATTTATTGTTTGAATTGTCCTCTATTACTGATGCTACTTTGCATTCTGAGACAGAAGACTCGCTCTTTACATTATCAACGCTGGAACTGCTCTTTACTTTATCAGGACGGTTTTTGGTCAGCTCCTTGATTGCCTTCTTCGATTTAGCGAATAGCCAATCAATGGTTTTGCTCGCTTTATCATAGCCTAACATGTCTTGTAGATCAAAAAATTTTCTAGCAACCTGGACTGAAAGTCTCATTCTTCTGTCTCTTATTCCTTGCGCCGTGCAAATCTTGCTGTGTCTATCCTTCTTTCCAGTTCTCTTTCGAGGGGTTGGACCAAGATTTCTCTTCCTCACCTGTGTAATAGCCTCACAATGAACTTGATCAGCAGAATTTTCATTCAATTTGCAGGGCTCACTATTACCTTCTGTTCCTTCCTTGTAATTTGTAGTATTAGTCCCTTCCATGGGCTGATTTTGTGACAATATTTGATTCAAAGGCAATTCATGGTTGTCTGAAAATGGTGAAGGGAAATTTATGAAACATGAAGTGTTATCTTGTCTGGAGATAGGGTTTCCATCATACGTAAACGACCATTTGAACAACGAGTCAAAGGGATCATCGTTTGAAGAAAACATGCTTATAACTGATATAGGTTCTTTTTCGTGACTTTTAAAGAGATTCGGGGAGATTTAAATTGAATGAAGAACAGTGAGAACTAAAATGAAGGTGGAAACTACTGGAAAATGAGGGAGAGAGTTTGAACCATATTTTCCTAGTAAAATTAAAGGTTACGGAAAAGCTAAAGTAGTACGAATTCGAATCAAGTCCAATGTCTAAGATGAGGTGGCGTATATAGTAGCGATGGTGATGGAAGGGAAAAGGTTGACAGGGCGGTGGATACTTTTTTATTTTTTTGCGGGGATACCACTTCATAAACAAGGGCACATTTGGCTAGGCTTAAAACATATACTTAAAATTAAGTTAATTTATTGAAAATAAGTAGTTTTTAAATTTCTTCTTTTTGTCAAAGATAAATTGCGTATAATATGTTTAGCTAAGCTTAAAATGCTAAATAGGAAGCCAAGATATAATGCTTTTTAGCATTTTTTTTATAGCAATACATTTTATATACTGTCAAGAAAAGTTGAAAATATTTAAACTCGTCCAAGCATGCTCAAGTTACTAATTTTAATATTATTCCCTACTTATTAGTTTCAAAATATAAAACTTTGTTTACTTGGAATCGAAAGATATAGTATAATATCCTCCATGTTTAGAAATAAAAATTTATTCAAAAATCATCCCTTCTTTGACATGTTATAAATGGAACAATAAAGAAAAGATTAGCATGACCCTTTTAGAGGACGACACAAAGAAATCTAGAAATGATCCAATTTCTTCTTTTTCGAAAACAAAAATTCACTTACAACTAAGTTCCAGTTTTATGCTTAGCTAGCCAAACATGTCCAAAAAAAGTGATGCCTATTCATAATTATGTACAATCAAAGACAATTAATACAACTTCTTTATGTATCTTTCATCCTAGTCAATTGTTTTCATGCATTCAACTTGGGAGAGCGAAACAGGGGATAAATAATACACGAGCTTATAATACAAAACTCACGTGATACAAAAAATTATATCCTGTATAGTACAACACGTTACATATCAATATACGTAACACGAATTTTTTCTTTTCTCTATTTGAGAATTTAATACGAACTACAATTGTGTATAATGTACAATTTACTTTGTGAATATTATTAGGTGAAAAGTGAAAATTAAAACTAGTTAAGTCAATAATTGTACCCAAGCCTATAAAACCTAAGGCCACGGGCAGGACAATTATTTGAACCCATAACAAACCTGCTTTATTTCCATTCAAGGACTTGTTTCTTTGACTGGAACATAACATGTTTCTTTGACTAGAATTGCAGAAAGGATCAATTTGACCAGTGGTGACTAGACTTTCTTCCGAATTTTAATTGGCCAACGTGATGGTCACGTTAGCTGAGTTGGATTTGGGGGACTGGGCTGGGCTTTAGTCCAGTCCCCCAGCCCATTTCAATTTTTGTAGGTAAAAAAAATTATAAGTAAAATTTTTTTTATGTTTAATTATTATTATTATTTTGGGTGTTAGTAAGTCGAGCTTAATCTTGATCATAGATGTTAAATTATCTTATTCGAAATCTAAATAATTGTATATGGCATAAAATTTATATATTTAATTCGTCATAATTATAGAAAACGTACTAATTAAAAATAAGGGGGAAATTATTCAATAATTCCCGATTCAACGTGCCCAAAATGACCCAGTGACAAGAAAATTAAATACAACAAATTTCCAGACTTGGGTTAGTTCAACCAGATAGCAAACACTTCAAAGTTCAACCACTGGACTTGGGTTAGTTATCTCTTCTTCTTCACCAATCTGCTGGCCGTTCATTTGGACGATGAAATCATCAAAACACTCATCGACGGTTCTAAATCGCTCATCGGGATAGAGGCTTGTGACTTCAACTTCATTAGGGCCATCAGTGGAGAAATTAACTTGACATCCCTTTATGAAAATGTCGTGTGTAAACGATGCCACTACGCTTTTAGGTATCATATTCTCTGCATCACTTTACATAACTTTAGTAGGTAATAAGTTAATATTTAGAAAATTGAAATCTCGATGTTAGAATTAAAAGTATTTTAATTGTGCATCCTAATCCCAAATCTACGTGTTGGGATGGAAATCGTGTATATAATTGACAAATTTTATGATATGCTTATTTTCTTTAAAATCGAGTCCACAGGTATGATCAATTGAGCATGTTTGGCTTAGCTTAAAGACGTCCAAGTAAAACTGTAAATTTTAAATTAAATAATGTGTTGTTAAAAAGTTGATAAAAATTACGAATCTTATAAAATGCATGGTTAAAAATAAATTGAAAATAAAAAATGAGTTTTAAGAAAATAAAAACCAAGCAGGTGTGAATACAAGATAAAACTGTTATAAAAGTAATTTTTTTGTCTAGTCCGACATACTAAATACGTCATTATTTTTACGAAATTCGTGAGGTTGTTAAGCATGTACCTTGTGCAGCAGCAAGTAGGTCATCTTCAGAGACGGTAACTCTTGGGAGGTTTCGACCAATTTTCTTCTCCCACAAAAGAGCAAGCTCATTCATGTTCAGACAATTGTTTGGTGGCCGAAAATGAACAGATTTGTTCAAAGTACGTACGTCTATAGCTGCTTTCATTGTGAACTTCCCAATATCAGAGCCTGCAACAAAATAAGCTGCAAAAGACCACAAAGTTAAGAATAATGCTTTCTAGTATCGACGGTGTTAGAGCACTAATTTAGGTAACATTATATGATATGTTCAATTAAAGAAGAAATTATACAATTCATTTAATTATACATTTAATTTAATGACACTTAGTACCACGTAGACTGATGTTATAACACCAATGGTGCTAAATAATATTACTCCCAAATTAGTTTCTAGTTATTATCGAATTAAAAGCAATTGCAACACGATTTTGCCGAAGGGATGTTTATGGTTCCTACTATATATATAAATTACACGGCATGCACATAGTAAAGGAAATCCTACATTAGGTGACTGGGCAATGGTGACTTCAATTAGACTTGATCAGATCAAATTAAAATGTTCTTGTACATTGACCCGATTTAACCACCCTTTTTGGCCCAACCAAGTCCCCTCCATTGCACATATTTAATTCCATTCCGACAGTGATAGTACGATAAAATTTTAGCTTCTTTTTCTTTTTTTTTCACATTGTTTCGCACCCTACCAAACAAACAAAGAGGGATTAGTCTCAAACCTTTAACATTTCCATCTCCATAAATTTGGAACTGGTCGAGCGGTGGTAAAACTTCTGAAGGGTGTTTGTTGTCATGGTAGGGCCAAGAAGCAATTGAATTGCAACAAATATAAGTATATGGAATTTCTGTCTCTTCAATCAGTCTTCTCACTGTCCTCTTCTCTTTGTACATGGAGAGCCCGGGTTCAACTGGATCCGCCCTATCGATATCGTGTCCAAATTCAGAAGGTAAAAATCTCTGAAAAGCCACCAATTTCTCAGACATTAAAATGAGTGTTCAAGAAAAAAGTATATCAAATTTTCAAGATTTTGCTACTTACTATTACCTTAATGGTTCCAACTGCTTTCAAGGCATGGATTAGGATCGACTGGTGCATTATGTTAGCACCGCCAACAGCTGATATTACTATGTCTATTTCATGCTCTTTTAGTATTTTCTCCATGAATTCTAGATCATTTATAGCACCCTGCAGATTTTCGACATAATTTAAAATCAACAACATAAATCCCTTCGAATCATTTTCTATCTTTCCGGAAAAAATAGCTATGCTCAACTACCCATGACCGTGAGTGTGCAAACATACATGTAAGATGGTGGCTCCTTTATCCTCAAAGGCTTTAACGGCTTTTGCCTCAGCTGGGCATTGTGGAAGTGATCGGATAAGAATATATGTTGATCCGCCCGTGTCAAGGCTTGCTTGTGCTATAAAATGGCCGATAAAACCGGTTGCTCCGACTATAAGGACTCGATTCTTGGCTAAAGAACCAATGATGGAAGCTGACATTTTAAGTGGTTGCTATTTGTTTGGAAACTTAGGATGTACTGTAAAGAATTTTACGGTTGATTTTCAAACAGGATTTGTAATAAAACCAAAAACACACAACAAGAACAAAAAAAGGAACACAAGAACACCAAAATTGTTGACCCAATTCAGCCGAAATAGGCCTAATCTGGTGGGTTCAGGGACAGCCCGTTCCACTATGGCACAATCTACCTTCCAAGAGAGTAAGAGTACATCAAAAACCACTCAGATCACAAGGTTTCAATCACCGATCTACAAGATCTTGTGAAACACAACCCTTGAAATCAGCTAAACGTTTAGGAATTTCACAATACAAGATTAGCCACTCTCTTAGGCCTGATCAATAACCAAAACTATAAACCCCATGACACAAGATCACAGAAACCTTACAACAAGAGAGAAATTTCAGGCTCAAAAACTCAGAAGCGAAGTAGAGTGAGAGACACAGAAGAGAGGAGGAGCAAAATCTGGAATAAATCAAAAGTCACGAGACTTTTGGGTAGAAAAGGACGGTCCATCTCCCAAGGGTTAATCTCAGCCTTCCATTTAATCCAATGGTCCAAAACGAGTCTCAACTAGCATAATCCAAGTGAATATCAAGCGTCCAATAATCGAGTGTCAATTAGGCAGATTTTTCCAAGTAAGTCGAAAACCCAATTGACAAAAATAGCACTCGTTTTAGAGTGTTTTGAGAAACAACACTTTTCATGTACTTAGATTGAAATGTTTGGTGCAAGAAAATATGCTTATAAGGAGACGAAGTTGACTAGGCGTTGGATAAGGGAGTAAGACAATTTACATAGTACAACAATAGTATGAGGATTTGATATATAGATTACTTTTAGTTTAATTTTGATTGTTTAAAATGAATTAATTAATGAGAGGAGTCGGTATTTATACATTTGTGCCAAATATGTGTCAAAATTAGTTAATTCATTTGTGTCCAAACCACTAACAAAGCATTTTTTTGGGGAGAGAAGAGTAAGAGGGTAAGTTATAAACTGACGCATATTCATGAAATTTAAATGTAAGACGTATCTATCGTTAAATTTATGATGAATTAATGAATTGTTTTGCACGATGTTCGATTTTAAAACTTTGTAATTTTTAATATATCGACTAGTGATCCAATTTACTATGCAACAATGACACGTGGTAGAAAAAAGTACAATTTAAGTTCTCTAACAGGAATGACCTATTGTGCAAGTCATCAACAATTATTTACTCGAAATATGAGCAAGATTTAAAGGTTTTCGAATATTATCTTCCTCACGGGCCTCACCTAACTTTATTGGCGGATAATGCCAACTAACTTTTTGTCATCTAGGATTAGCTTTGTTAAGTGGAATTATGTATGTTATTTCTTTAAGAGAGAGAGAGAGAGAGAGAGAGAGAGAGAAATCAAGAAATACTGAAAAAAAAAAAGGTGATATAATGGGTACCTTATTACAACTTCATCCTAGCCACTAGTCCCGACTTCGGCTGGGTAGAGAGAAGGTAGAGTTTTCAATTTTTTCATACTGTCAAATAGTTGAATATCTTTCTTCTTCTTTATTTTTGTATTTTTTTTTTTTTGTGGTGTTGTCGTCAAAGATTTGAACAATGAAAATAGATTACGAGTGCCTGATCAAATTGATTAAGTCATGTAGGAAATGGGTTCAATTCTATTGATCTGTTAAGATGATTCAACTGCATACACCGCTGCACTTCCACTTGACACATATCGTAATGATAAATGGCTTGTCTCATCGTGACCTTCTTTTGAATTCTCAAAAGTTGTGATGCTCCTCCCCCATGAGAACAGAGAACCTTGCTAAGTTGTTGAGCATAATTATTATGGTTGTGCAAAGTCAATAAGATTTTTTTGCCGCTCCATCACCGTAGAGTGTGATTTTCTATTATAAGTTTCTTTTTATAATAATGAATTAATGCACCATTGGAAGATATGTAGCCTTATATTGAAGCAAACTTGTATAAATCTTGTGTGTTCTTGAGTGTCTACTTTTCTTTTTGGCGAATTGATTGCTCTATTTATAATAATTTTAAGCTTTGTAATTCTCAACAAACCCATCGTTGTCTCGATTGTGCTACCGAATGCTATGGGGAAGACGGCTCAATGGATTTTCGCTAATTCTACAATGTAACTACTAGATTGATTGGAATATTGTGATGGATTCACGTATGGGATACGAATAAGAGAATACTATATAGAATAAAACGCAGCAAATTTTCCCCTATTCAACATACATTCTAGTGAAGTGCAAAAGTTTCTATTAGATTAATGCTAGTGTAACAACTAACATCCTTGCCTCCATGCATCTTTGGTTGAATTTTCTGCCTGCAAATCACGCCATTCTTAACTGCAGCATACATGATTCAGATTTAAATGGTTGAGGCTAGACGCCTTCCCTACCTTATTAACGGTGCCATTCGAGAAAAAGTTAGCATGTTTGCTTGGCAAGGCTTAATTTTTTTTTCTAGGTTGATTAATTAATTATTTATTTATTATAGAACTTCCAACTTACTATTCACTCATTCCCACATTCTACAAAAATTTACAACTTAAAAGCATTAAAAAAATAAAATAAAATAAAACTTTGCCAATCATTTTTTTAATCAAAATTGCTTTTGTCTACTAAGTGCATTGAGCTTTAACTTAAAAAAAAAAAAAAAAAAAAAAATCCATTCCAAACACACTCTAAATCATCAAACTACATATTTTACATTTTAGAAAATTACCGATAATATCCGTAGTGATTTTCTATAAAATTGCCAACTGTTAATTTCTATCGGCAGTTTTTATCGGCCGCTTTACATATTTTATCTTTTTAAAGAATTATTATCCACAAAAATTCCAAAGGTAACTTTAATTTATTGTAACTTTCCCTTTTTGTTAATAAGTTGGTATTCTCATTATTTAAACCATTGAGAATGTATATATTGTCACGCCACGCACTAAACCACTTCCGCAATAGTGAGGCACGCACTATAAATTAAATCTATTGAAGTGACAAAAGTGCCCCCCATAATCGAAGCGTTTGGCTATCCGAGATGCTCCCTTAACAGACATCTCCGCTGCTAGTTTCAAAAGCATTTCTTTGTCAAAATCCTCTATGGATATGATATCTCCATGAGTCTAGTTGATGTGACATTAACTTTATGCCAACTCAATCCAGCAACTTTATGTCAACTCAATCCAGGGAAATTGATGACCTGCCCACTCTAGACGTGGTTGATTGATACCTACGAGCAGACGTCTCACGCCGTCAGATGCATACACGTATCCCACATCCAACGGTGCTCCTCATCTATAAATACTCAAGGTTTGACAAAAGGTACAAGGTAATGAAACATATACTAAATTAAGCTCTCCACACTCAAGCATTATATATTCTCCTCCCCACTCTCTTACACAATTCCGGCACTGTTTCGATCATCGTCCACTGACTTGACCATCGGAGTGTATACGACAACCACCACCCCCGCTAGTTCCGACCGTGTGCTCTTGATCGTGCGTTGTTGTATACAGGAAGGAACACGTGGAGTGGCTCTCGATTGGTCACGCGGAGGTCCATTTCGCGAGGTCAATAAATTGGCGCCGTCTATTGGAAATCTTCCGGTCCAAAAGCTCCACATTTTCCACCAGAAGAGCCACCGACAAACTATCGACTTATACTGAAAATGGCACATTCTTGAAAAAGAACAAAGTCAACCTACAATCAGAGTCCTTAACACCCTTGAAAAAGTAGGCAAGATGAGTTATAGTAATGAGGATACAAATTTTGAAGGGCACAGGGACGCCTTTGAAGAAGAGGTGATCCGGACCTAGGGATGGCAATTTGAACTATTAAAATCGAAAATCACGGTTAACCGAACCGAATGGGGTGAAAAAAATCAAATCAATGGTGCAATGGGGCGGGTATGGTATTTGACTTTAATGAACCGATTCGTGACGGTGCAGGTATGGTATTTATGTTGCTGAATTGAAACCGAACCGATTACCCGCTTAAAAAAATCATTCTTTTATTAGGGATGACAAGGTTTAGTGAGGAGGAAGTTGACGAAGAGGTACATTTTTTTTATTTAAATCTTAGTTAAAACCATTTTGGATTAGGTAGTATTATTGTATTCTCTACTTACATTTCTTATTTACTATATAAGAATCAATTTTGAGTGCTGACCTATACTAGTAAGAGTTGGGGGGAAGAATGAATATTGAATATGAGTTAAGGTTGAAGCTTTCGATTTATTGAGCATGAATCAAGTAACTACAATGCACAAGAATCAAGAATGAAGAAAAAGTTTAATATTGTTATATTCATAATATTGTTTGTTAAATTTGTATTTTGCAATTGGAATTGGGGATAATGTTTGCATTTTCGTTTTGGAATATTATGTTTTTATTTTCATTGACTCTCTCTTCATAAATTATTTTATATTAATTTGACGGATGGACCTATAAAAAATAATTTATTTTAGTGGTTATTAACCGAATCGAGCCGAACCGATATACGAACCGAACCGAACCAATTTACGTGGTTATGGTATGACAAAAAACTTGACGATTCGGTGATGGTTTTGGACGAACCGAACCGTTGCCATCCTTATCTGGACCAATGTCACGCATCGGAGACCCCATCACCGACATCACTGGGACAACATGACAACAACACTCACCAAAGGGATGGCTCACAGAGCCCCAAGCATGAGAGACATTGCAGCCCGAAACTTGGTGATGCGTGAATTCTTCATGCAAGCCCAAGGACAGCATGACTTTCCAATGCCACGAGAGCAAAACCCAGCATCTTATTCCCAGGGTCATTCAAATAACCACAGGGAACACCCCATTGAGAGGGAAGTGGGAGTGGATGTCACTTCTTACACCCAAGGTACTCACACAGCAAAACCACAGCTGGGAGAAAACTTCCCCCAGATTACGAACCTCAAAGCTCGATTATTATCTTCAACCGAATAGGTCGAAATCCTAGCAATAGGGTCCACTCTATACAAAGGTCAACTTAGCATGTGAAGGAGCAGGAGCAAGAACAAGAGGCACCTCCTCCATCTGAGAATAGGCGAGAGATAAGAAACCTAGTGGATTGGGGTAGTCGGGAAGAGGCACCTCCACCTCCCCAAAATGCATCAGAGGGGAAAGGTTCTGAAGGGCCATGTCGCTCCTACGAAATTGATGACGATGATGACAACCTCCCTTTCTCTAAAGAAATTTGAAGCTACCCAATGCCTGCGAACTTCATACCCCCTAAAATCCCTAAGTATGAAGGAAAGGAAGCCCACAGAAACACCTAACTAAGTACATGATGCAGATGAACCTCAGAGGAGCCTCATCGGCACAGAAATGTAGGGCCTTCCATCTAACCCTCACCGAAGCTGTTGAGGTGTGGTACAACAGATTACCACTTCTGTGTATCAGAAGTTGGCCAGACTTGAAGAAGGTATTCTTGAACTAATACCTTTCACGAAGGAAAGGAGAGGCCTCAGTGCAACGCCTACAAGATATCAGGCAAGCTCCTGGCGAGATGCTGAAAAGCTATCTTGCCAGATTCACTGATGAAATTACATATTGCGAGCAAGTCACTGATAGGGAGGCCCTCTCAACCCTAAAAGGAGGCTCTAACATAAACACATTGTTCTGGAGAGACGTACAAAGTAAGAATCCAGGTACTTACGACGAACTGGTTGAGATGATGAGGGTTGAAATCGTCAATGAGGAGATGATTGACCACCAGAATTGTGCAACTCAGGGACTTCCTTCGTCTCAGAGGCAGATGGGTCAAAGACCAGCGGTACACTTCGTCACCCAGGAATGGACCCAGACAGGTCACACAGTAGCCCCCAGATCCGGACAGGCATTGGCTTCAGCCACTCTAAATGCAGTGTCAGTGCTGGCATATGAAAATACCCCTGTCGGAACAGGACCTTCCGGGAGAACAAACAACCGACGCAAGAAAAAAAAGCAGGCGAGCAGGTCCTTGGAAGGGACAAAGTTTTGCACATTTCACCAACTCTATGGTCATGACATCAACGAATGCAGAGACGCACCTCGATCATCAAACCAGGGCAGCTCACCCTCCTCCAAGAAAAACCATTATCATGAACACTCCCACATGTCCACCTCTCCAAACAGGGAGTTGAGGTGACAGAGAAATCGTTCACCTCGAAAGAGAGAGATGAGAGATAGATCTCGAGGAGAATCCAGGCAAAGGAATCGGGCACCAGCCACCAGAGGCGATATCATCCGGGAAATTGATACAATCATTGGGAAACCCAACATCGGGGCAACACCAGGAACGCCCAGAGGAACTACACAAGGGAAACAAAGGATCCACCAATGATTAGTTACATTGTAAATCAATCCCAAGAGGCTAACAGGATGGCTCCAATCACTTTCTCTCAAGAAGATGTACAAGGAGTTAATCATCCCAATTGTGATGCGTTGGTAGTAAGAGTCGTAGTGGCTCGAAACGGACTCAAGCGCATGCTCGTTGACAATGGTAGCTCGGTGAATATACTGTTCAGATCTACCTTTGACAAAATACATATTGAACATGGGTTGAACACCATGACCGACCTGATATTCGGATTCACCGGTGACAGCATCGTCCCACGAGGACGAATTACTCTACCTGTCGAGATGGGGTCAGCCTCTCTAATGGCCCACCACTTCATGGAATTCCTGGTGGTAGACCACAGATCAGCCTACCATGGAGTCTTAGGTCGACCTGTCCTGAAAGATCTTTGGGCGGTCACTTGCATCCATTACTTGTGTATGAAGTTCTCAACTGAGCATAGGAATGCTACAATTCGAGACGACCAGATGGGCTCAAGAGCATATTACCTCAACTTTCTACGAAAATTCGAACCCCACACTGTTAATGTCATTATAACAGAGGTCGCCAATGGAGCCGACATGGACATAGAAATGCTCGACTCCCCTGAGCAAGGGCATATCTCCGAACAGGAGAAAGACGTCGATATGGTAGAGGCTCCTGAAGAAGGGCACCTCTTGACGAGTTGAATCCTCGAATTATTAAGTCTAAACTAAATGCCACCCTAATGGAAGAGCTAAAAACTTTCTCCATCAACCCTAAGGACCTCACTTAGGTCTTGTGGATTGAAAAAGCGCTATCCCCCGAAGTGAAGGAAGAAATGATGAACTTCCTAAAAAGGAACCTGGACATCTTTGCTTGGAAGCACGAAGACATGGTGGGAATAGACCCAAGGATCAGTTGTCATCATCTTAATATCAACCCCTCATGTACCCCACATCAACAGAAAAGACGAGTCCTCAACTCAGAGCGATATGAGGCACTCAAAGAAGAAGTCGACAAACTCAGTTGAAGCAGCTTCATTAGAGAAGTCATCTACCTGAAGTGGATATCCAACCCAGTCCTCGTGAAGAAACCTAGCGAGAAATGGAGGGTGTGCGTAGACTTCACAAATTTGAACAAAGCATGCCCTAAGGACAGCTTCTCTCTCCCAAGGATAGACCAACTTGTGGACTCCACTGCTGGACATGAACTCTTAAGCTTCATGGATACATACTCAGGGTACAACCAGATATCCATGTTCTGACCTAATGAGAAATCCACATCGTTCATCACGGACAGAAGATTATATTGCTATAAGGTGATACCCTTCGGATTGAAAAATGTCAAAGCTACTTATCAAAGGCTGGTCAACATGATATTTGCCGAGCTCATTGGCAAAATCATGAAAGTCTACGTGGACGACATGCTAGTTAAAATCTTCCAGGCGAAAAAACACGTAAGTCACCTCGACCAGACCTTTTAGATTCTCAAAAAGTATAAAATGAAATTGGACCCTCTCAAGTGCACCTTCAGGATAGCTTCAGGTCAATTTTTGGGATATATTATAAACCAAAGAGAAATCGAGGCGAATTTGAAAAAGATAAGGGCCTTACTGAAAATTAGGTCACCTAAGAAGCCAAAGGAGGTCCAAAACCTCAATGGCCGATTAGTCGCACTCAGTTGCTTCATCTCCAAGGCCACTGACAAGAGCATACCTTTCCTCAAAGTCTTGAAACAATAAAAGAAGTTCCAATGAATAGATGAGTGCGATGGAGCCTTCCAAGCGCTGAAAAAGTACTTAGGAGAGGCACCTCTACTGTCTAAACCCGAACCACTACAATCACTGTTACTGTACTTAGCGGTCTCAGACGAGGCTGTCAGCACAATCCTTGTCAGAGGAGAAAACATGCATCAATTGCTGGTATACTATATAAGCAAATCACTACTCCCAGTAGGGACACACTACCCAGATATGGAGAAGCTGGCGCTCTTCTTTGTCACTGTATCAAGGAAGCTGATGCCATATTTTTAGGCCCATTCAATTAAAGTTCTCACCAATTTTTCATTAAAATAAGTGTTGCAGAGAACAGACGCTTCAAGCCATTTGCTAAAATGGGCAATCGAGTTCAGCGAGTTCGACCTACTGTTCCGACCCTGAAACGTTATCAAGGGCTAGGCCCTTGCGAATTTTGTGGCCGAATTTGCCAAAATCCCAGAAATGGAAGCAACAATGGAACCAGAAGAGTTCCCAACATGGAACCTATTTGTGGATGGATCGTCAGGAGAGACTGGCTCCGGGGCAGGAGTTGTTTTGGAAAGCCCAGAGGGCCATAAGCTAAACTGTGTAGTTAGGTTTAGCTTCAAAGCCTCGAACAACGCTGCAGAATATAAGGCCCTCCTAGCAGGCCTTAGACTAGCGAAAGAAATGTCAGTCAAAAGGCTCCTAGCAAGCAGTGACTCGCAGCTTGTGGTAAGTCAGGTTAACGGAAAGTTTGCAGCCAAAGACAGTGGTATGACTGCATATCTGAAATTGGTTCTGAACCTAGTCCCTCACTTCGAGAGATTCGACTGATTCAAGCCTCATGCCTCAAAAATATACACATTGATGCCCTGTCCAAGTTGGCCAGCAGCAGGGATTCGGAGCTACTAAAGATTGTCCCAATTGAGCACCTACCGAAGCCCTCCATCTCTGGAGGCGAAGAAATACTATGGATTGAAGGCACCCCACTTTGGATGCAACCCATTATAGCCTATCTCAACGATCAATCACTACCACCCTCAAAGAACGAAGCGAAGAAGTTGAGAAGAAGAGCTGCTCACTTCATACTTCAAGATGGTGTGTTATATAAAAGAGGCTTCTCATCAACCCTACTCCAGTGCGTTGGAGGGAAAGAGGCCTTATACATCCTAAGAGAAATTCATGAGGGAGTCTACGGTAACCACTCTGGTGGAGCAGCCCTGGCACACATGGTACCTCGACAAGGGTATTTTTGGCCGACCCTGAAAAGGGATTCCTGTCAATTTGTTCAAAAATGTGACGAGTACCAGCGGTTTGCCAATATTCAGAGACAGCGTTCTCAGAAACTCTCCGTAGTCACCAGCCGATGGCCTTTCTCCAAATGGGATATAGACTTCATCGGTCCTCTCCCAAAAGGGAGAGGAAGTGCAACCTTTGTCGTAGTTTCCATCGATTACTTTACTAAGTGGATCGAAGCTGAACCTCTAGCAAAAATCACTAAGGTGAACACCACAAAGTTCGTCTAGAAGATCATTTACAGGTTCGGCATTCCCCACTCCCTAGTATCTGACAACTGAAGGCAGTTTGATAACAAAAAGATGCCAGACTTGTGTGAAAAACTCAGCATAAAGAAGGACTTCTCAACACCTCATCACCCCCAAGCAAATGGGTAAGTTGAGGCAGTAAACAAAACTATCCAGCATATCCTGAAAGAAAGCTTGACGCCTCAAAAGGGGTATGGGTCGATAAGCTTCCTCATGTCCTCTGGGCTATTCGAACAACTAGCCGAACCGCAATAGGAGAAACACATTTCTCCATGACCTACGAAGCCAAAGCCATGAGTCTGATGGAGGTGGAAATCCTCTCTCACCGTCGGATACATTTCAATGAGATCGGCAACGACGAAACTCGAGTGTATGAACTCAACCTCCTTGAAGAAATGAGGGATTCCTCCCAAATAAAATTGGTTAAGTATCAAAGACAATTGACCCACTATTACAACTCTAAGGTCAGAAACCAAACTCTTCGCCTGGAGAACCTCGTCCTCAGAAGGGTCTTCCAATCATCGAAGCCAACTGGATTCAGAGTGTTTGGGTCGACCTGGGAAGGTCCATATCATATCCACAAGGAGTCCCGACCCGGTACTTATGAAATCGAAGACATGGCAGGGAAAGTGCTACCTCATCATTGGAACATTGAACACTTGAGGAAGTACTTTCAGTGATAAGTGTATGTTTTGATCTGATCTCCATTTTGACCAGTTTATTGTAACATTCATATCTTACTAAGTGTTGAAATTGCCTTAGTGAAAGATACATTCTGGTACCTCAATCTCCATTATGTTCTATGGGTTATTTAAATGGTGCCTCAGTTAGTCAGTATTTTATATGGGTAAATTCTTTTCATCAGTTGGTTATTGTTGGCAAGTGATGCTTAATATTTACTTGTGTTCGTTACTCATCAAGATACAAACAGTTTGGCACAAATGAAAGAAGTATCAATACTTGGCCAAAAAATTTCATTTCATTAATATCAAAAAGATTACAAAAGTTGGGCCGAAGCCGTTGCAATGCGAGCCCTGATCTATTAGCACTATGGCCTTATCCTCCACTTCTACCGCCTCTTGGGGAGCCTCCGCAACTTCTTCGACAAATGCAATGTCTGGGCGACCTCCAGTAGGTCCATCGAACTCCGCCTCAAGAACAAAAGTGTCCAGTATCGGATGGACCTCCTTTAGCCGTTCTAGCATCGCCTAGGCATTCCAAGAGGCCCAATAGTTGGCGAAGATGTCATATAAAGGAAGCTCCTTGAAATGGTCGATGAAGTGCTGCACAGCTAACTTACCAACCACCTTCGCCTCAGCCTTCAAAGACTCAATCTCCTCTACTTGGGCCTCCACCCTCTACCTCAGCTCAGCCTTCTCTTTGTTCGAGGCCTCCAAAGCCTCTATAGCTAAACGTTGGTGCTCAATGGCGTGATAAAGTACCTCTTCAAAGCAGCCACCTGGTCTTCTGTCTCATGAAGCTCCTTCCTCAACCTTTCAACATCAGAGTTAGCTCTCCCCAGTCGGCTTTCGGCCTCTGCCCTCTTCCTCTCCACCTCAGTAGTCTTGGCCTTCGTCTCCCGCACTGCTTCCCTATATAGAAAGTTCACCTCCAACAGCTTGGCTAGGTTAACATTTTTTGCCCTAAGGTCTTTCACCAAGGCCTCAAGCTGAACACTAGTGCTCAGGGCTCTGGCAAGGATGTAGTGTTGGCAGAAGCTAGATCTTCCTCAATGCAGGAGGTAGTATGGTCCCTTCAAGCTTTAGTCTAATATTTATTGTGAGCCACAGCCACGGTTGTTGTCTTAGGGAAAAGAGCCCCAATACCTTCCCCACTAGCTCCTCCTCATTCCGGGCCAAGAAATCCACTCCTTTTTCTGGACGAGCCCTCTTTCTCCTCTGCTGATCGGGTTGCTGGGTCAGAGGCGCTGCAGGAATTGGGGCCGGAGTAGTGGTAGTCGGGTGAGCCTCCGGCAAAGATGCAACCCTTTCTCTGATCGCGGCCCCGATTGGGATCGTCGCCTGGCGCCTGGCAGTCCTCGCCACAATAGGGCCCTTGGATTGTTTTCCCTTCTTCAATAGGGGAGCCTCGGTCTCTTCATCTTCCTCCTCGACCATGGCAAGCTGATGTTTTTTGCTCGCCACAACCAGATCCTAGGTTTGCTTCTTATACATGGAAGAGGATGTTTTCAACGCTCGAACTTCAGCCATCATCTTCCGGATGGTCTTGAAGTCGAGCTTTAGAGGCCTCTTTTTGTTAAAGTCATCTGTAACAAAATAGAAAATCAATCAAGTATGAATGCTTCAATCATAGACTGTATTAAGGTAACCTCCATACTCACCCTAGGAGGCCATCAGCTCGTGCTCCACAAAATGGATATTCTTCCTTATGAGCTCGTTATAAGATCTTCTCTTCGAAGGAAACTGATATACGATGCAGATAGTGTCGTAGTCTTCTGTAGACAACTCGCACCGAGGTAGTGTACCTGCATGAAATCAGCAAGTTAAATTCAGAACTGAATGGGATAGATATGCAAGTAAATCCGAAGTTCCAGTACTCACTAAGATTTGAGTATTTTGTTGGTGTTATCAGGGGCGCCAGGGGGTCCCCCTCCAACATATCCCATCTCTCTGAAACCTAGCACCACGAACTCTTCCAGTCTTTTATGGAACTCGACAGGTTGAAAACGAATGAAGTATGGGCCCCCGAGGAGGTCAAATAATACCAACCCTTCGTTTTATCCCCCTGCTGCAACCTTAGGTATATTCAGGGTTTGGAAGATGGAGAAGGGCATCTCCTCACTGTAAGACACCTCTTTCCACAACATCCACAAACCCACCATTTGGCTTCAGGAGTTCGGGTTTAGCTGAGTAGAGGCTAGGCCATAAGACTTCAACACATACCTAAAGAAGGGGTGGATTGGTAGCCTGAGCCCCGCCCTAAGGATGGCCTCGCCAATCGCCACACACCCCGGCCTGGGGTAGTATGAGGCCCACATTATTCGGAATTCTATACTCAGTCCTAAGTCTGGCCATGTCGGTCGATTTTAATTTGGAAGGATAGTCGCACATCCCTAATAAACTGAAGTATCTACAAGACTATCTGGTTGTCTCCAGATATTCTCTCCCCTATAATCGCCTCAAAAATCTCAAATGAAGTGGCCAAAACGAGCTCATCTACCCCTGACAACCTCCTAGTCCCCTCCAGAACACCCACTACCCTCAGAGGCTATATTTTTCAGAAAAGTTGTAAAAACTCAAGAATACTTACGAAAGTCAACCGGAATGGGTATCCTAACGCCAGAAAGCTCAAAATCAACTCCTTAAAGTCGTCGAAGATCAGAAAGAGACTCAAAACTCGTCCAAAATCGCCACGAAATTTGAAAGCAATAGGGATTCTAAGTTTGCAAAGATGAAATGTTCGAATGGCACTAAGTCTCCCTTTTATAGGATACCTCAGACGATCCCCACCGTTGAATTCAAACAATGTCAATCTAGGCCGTTCATCTTATCACAAATCTGGATCTTTGAAATGAAACATCAGATTTGATCAACGCCCAAGATCTGACTGTGTCCCTCACGCCTAAGACGCGTCACCTCGAACAACAACAGACGTTAATAATAAGTAGCCGCAACAGCCCTTTTTTTGGGACAAGCATCATATCCAACTGTCGCCTTGAAAATACGTGATAGCTGTCATATCGATTAACGTCATAATAATAAGCACTTCGGATCAAGGCCAAGTTGTCCTAAATCACCTCGGATAAAGCTCCTCCTTAACTTTTCAGAGCTTCAATGCACCTTAGGTTCTTCACCTCGGACGCTACGTTCCCTAGCTCTACAAAGTTTAAGTCATCTCCCAACGCGTTGTCCCCTATGGGTCAACGCACCGATAATAGATACGCTTCTTCCTTAGCTTTTCAGAACTTCAACGCACCTGAGGTTCTTCGCCTCGGACGCTGCGTTCCCTAGCTCTACAAAGCTCAGGCCATTTCCTAACGCGTCATCCCCTGTGGGTCAACGCACCGATAGCATATATGCTTCTTCCCCAGCTTTTCAGAGCTTCAACGCACCTGAGGTTCTTCACTTCGGACGCTGCGTTCCCAAGCTCTACAAAGCTTCAGCCATCTTCCAACGCGTCGTCCCCTGTGGGTCAACACACCGATAGCAAATAGGCTTTCTCATCAACTCTTCAGAGCTTCAACGCAACGGTTGCAAATGAGCTCCTTACACCACCAGCATCATGGCTCACACGTGTCGGCCGGAAACTAACTTCCCTTCGCAATTTAACGAACTACCAAGACAAGCCTCCTACCAGCGTTGCTTCGATTTTAACAATACACTCCACCCACAAAGCCTTTGACGCATCTACTCGCTTCGCGCTCTAACGTTAGCACCACCAGATATTGCAAATCTCCCCTTCAGGTCCACACAATCAGATAAACAAGTCCACACATGATATGAATATTCATGCTTGAACTTCAGGGGACCACTATTACGCCTCACACTAAACCACTTCGACAATAGTGAAGTACGCACTATAAATTAAATCTACTGAAGCGACCGAAACGCCCCCCGTAACCAAAGTGCTTGGCTATCCGAGATGCTCCCTTAACGGACACCTCCGCTGCCAGTTTCAGAAGTATATCTTTGTCAAAATCCTCTATGGATGTGACATCTCCATGGGTCTAGTTGATGTGACATCAACTTTATGTCAACTCAATCCAGGGGAATTAATAACTCGTCCACTCTAGACGCGGCTAATTGACGCCTACGAGCAGCGTCTCACGCCGTCAAATGCACACACATATCCCACATCCAACGGTGCTCGTCATCTATAAATACTCAAGATTTTGCAAGAGGTAAAAGTTAATGAAACATCTACTAAATTAAGCTATCCACACTCAAGCATTATATATTCTCATCCCCACTCTCTTGCACAATTTCGATACTGTTTCGATCATCGTCCACTGACTTGATCGTCGGAGCGTATGCGGCCGCCGCCACCCCCACTGGTTTTAGCTGTGTGTTCCTGACCATGCGTTATTGTGTGCAGGGAGGAACATGTGAAGTGGCTCTAGATTGCCACGCGGAAGTCCATTTCGCGAGGTCTATATATATATAAATCCTTTGAAAATCTAAAGACTGATACTCCACCGACGGTTTGCATAAATTCGATGAATTGGGGTTCACAAATTGAAATGTACCTTCATCTTCAATTAATGGATTGAGCCCAATCCAATTGTAACCCACTAAACCATTAAATATTCAATAAAGCACAAAATTTAAACAGAATTGATACAAACGTTGACGTTTTCGAACTTGATCGGCCCTTTTTTTTTCTTTTTTTTTTTTTTAATCTTTCAATGATGCCACGTTAAGAGCAATGATTGATATACAGAATAATAAAATGGAAGAAAGATAAAGATAAAAAAAAAATAAAGAGTCAGTTAGAAGTCGATTAATAAAAATCACGTCATCATTCTGTAAATGTAATCATGATATACGGATAGCATTATTAAATTATCAATTAATGAACAAAAAGATTAACAAGAAATGGAGTTATAAAAAATGCAATAATTATTTTCTACTTTTTATATTGTCTAAGGGTCCGTTTGATTGTAAAGGTAGAAAATGTAAACCAATTCCATGTAAATTGAAAAAGAAAAAATCACCAAAATCATAGTAATTTGATTTCCACTCAATTGACCAAAAATATCATTTACGTGTTTATACTTTGGAATTCGAACTTCATTTTCACTTTTGTATCAAAATGTCAAAGTAGAAAATGAATTCCTCAAATATGACATTTTTCATGGAATTGAAGCCAATCAATCGGACCCTAAATGTTAATTCATAAACACTGGTATAAAATTCGAGTCTTTTTAGGAAAT